ACAATAACGCAGGCAATGATACGCTTATAAAAAACAATATTCGTGACACCTAAGGCTACAGAATGATTCTCGGATTTTCTATCCTAACGGGAACCTGACGAGTTCCTTATTCATTTGGAATCGAGTTCCTTATTCATTTGGAATCGAGTTCATTTACCAGCACATAGAGACAAAGAATATCAGTCCAAGGTTTTATATACAAATACGTTTCTTAAAAATTGAGGAAAGGGAGAAAAAAAGAAAGTAGGAAAGAAAAGAAAAGTAAAGGAGAGGCAAAAAATGGAAAGGAGCAGAACAGAAAGGAATGGAAAAGAAAGGAAAGGAAAGTAAAAGGACAGTGAAGGAAAGGGAAGGACAGGGAAGATACGGAACGGAACGGAAAGGAAAGTTAAAGAAAGGAAAGGAAAGTTAAGGAAAGAAAAGGGAACCCTTTACCGAAATGGAAAAAAATGTGGTTTTCTTTGGTGCCAGAGCTTTAATTGTTGTTTTTGGTTGGCGGAGTTTCTCAACGTACGCTTTCCCGCAGTAGAGGATGAACTGACCCACTGTAATTAATGCTCATGTGACTTTCAGGACGGTACAGAAATGCTGTCGGGGGAGAGGGTTGAGAGAATAAGTTTTAAAAAAAAGAAAAAAGACTTTTTGGGGGCTGAACAGAGCACTTAAAATAGAAATACCCGAGGAAGGATAGAATTGTCCCAGAACTTCTCGATCGGATTTGAACTATAACTATAAGCTTCCACGATCCTGGCTCAACAAGTTAACATTATTGTATCACAGAGGTCGGGTGTGACGGGTGCAAAAGGCCTGGAGTACGAGAAAAGGAGGAACGCCGAATTTATACAATTCTGTTTTAGTGTTCTTGCTTACGGTAAGCTCCAGAACTTAAACTCTAGCAAAACCCACCCAAGCGTTATCATATTATAGTCCAAGACCTTTGCCAAAGCTATTCAGTAGTTATTACGCTTTGAGCCACACTGGGGACAACGTTTCAACATAGATTGTGCTTAGTAAGTAAGTTTTTTCGGTGTTTAAGGTTACTGACCCTCATCACACCATATACAACTATCAGTTGTTAAATAAAGTTTTCATGATGAAAAAGCACAGGTTGCGCACATATCTCTTATCTTGGGTCAAACATTGAATATTTCTGTTACTGGGCCGAGTCAGAGTGGAAGGAATTCACAATTTCCTTTGATGGACAAAATATGGACAATAGGAAATAAAGTTAAATCCATTTTCAACTTCATCAGAGTTACACCTCTGACAGGTTGTCCATAAAAAGAAGGTGGAAAGTATCTATAGTCTCAACTTATCCATGGTGAACTCCTTCGCTGATAATCAATTTCTCGCTTGAAAGAAATTGCACGTAAAAAACACGTCCTTTGACAAAACAGAGAAACAATCATTTTATTTCATGCCCCATGATTACGAAATCGTAATATCCATAAAAATATTGCACATCCTTCAAAATAAACAAAGAAACAATCATTTTGTTTCCTGTCCCACGGCTAGCGATTACGAAATCACATCCAGAAAAAATTGCAACAATGACAGTTTGACAACGAGCTTAGCAAAAACTGAGAAGTTTCTAAAGGTACTGTTATACCTACTTAACACAGACATCTCGTTAAAACATTGACCTGGCCACACGCAAGTCTGCAGACCTTATGGTCAGTCTGTCCGTTCACTTATTGGTACTAAGTCTTCTGGTCAACAACGGTAATGCCCCTGAAGAGGCGGGAGTGCGACTGTCGAGCAGACAAGAGGCACCGTTTAAAGTACTATGAATATGCATGAGTCTTTTGTTTCTGCAGTATTGTGTAAACATTTTTACGTACATTAACGCAAATATGGAGAGTTCCCCTGCTCGGTCTTACATTTTTGTCTTTTTTCTAAAAGTTATTTCTATTCTTCTCTTGTTCTTATCTGCAGTTTTGCCTATTTTTAGCATCAAACAATTATTATTGTTTCAATTAATACACGTCTCTGTCAAACCTTTGTTGTCCAACTTATTTATCTTTATTGTAAAAAGTTATCATACATTTAAAATGGCTTACCTTAAAAGAACTATTGGCCCTGGTAAAGATAGAGAAAACATGCACACACACACATGCACAACACACTCTCTGAAAATCTTATCGGTAATTAAATTCCAATCCGACCGTTAGAAAAGTGTAGACCAAAAAAAAATCAGAGAGAGAGAGAGAGAGAGAGAGAGAGAGAGAGAGAGAGAGAGAGAGAGAGAGCTATCGTACAAGGAGGGCTATATCTACCAGTGAAGAACTACCTCTTAGCAACATCGGAAGAATGCCATTAGCAACACGCGCACACATACGTGCCAGGAGTCCCGAAAATATTCAGCACCACGCCGATCATGTCAAACAATAAAACTCGGTCTAATCCGTATAATGGTTGAGAAAAGTTGTCATTGAAAAAGGCAAACGTATCGCTCCGAACGCCTTTCTCTAGATCTACAGTCGCTAAGAAAGAGGAAATATACACTTGCTTTGTGGAGCGACCGGCCCCTGTTTACCCTGAGTGTTCTTCGGAGCGAGTGTAAAGAGAAAGTCTCTCGTTTCTTTTCACCCGAGTCTTTCTGCCCAGAGGAATAACTTGGGGAGGATATTATTTAGATTATTGGACGGATTGTAGACAACTGTGCACCTACACAGTGGAGTCGTTGAAAAGAGGGGCACCAGAGAGAAAGAAAGAGGGGAGGGGAGAAAGAGAGAAGGGGAGGGGGGGAACGAGAAAAGGGGGGAGTTGGTGTACGAGAGAAGGGAGAGTCAAAGTGTGAGAGGAGTGAGGGAGAGAGAGTGAGATAGAGAGGGGGCCCGGGAGGGAGAGAGTGAGGGGGCCCCGGGAGGGAGAGAGAAAAGGGGGCCGAGAGAGAGAGAGAATGAGAGAGAGAAGGAGAGAGATAGAGAGAGAGCGAGAGAAAGCGAGAGTGGGGCGGAGAGAGGGAGAGAGAAGGGGGTTGAGAGAGAGAGAGAGAGAGAGAGAGAGAGAGAGAGAGAGAGAGAGAGAGTATGATTAGGGACATGGAAACAGACAGAAACTTGAAACAGAGAGAGTGAGAGAGTTAGAGAGAAGAAGAAAAAAGAAGAGAAAGGGGGAAGGCAAAGAGCAACTATCTGGAGAAAGATTGTCTTGTGTTTGTGCGTCTATGCGAAGCGACTCACGCTCCGAGTTAATGATACTGGTCGCAGAATGGGGAACCAGCAGAATGGCTTTTTTGTCATCTACAATTAAAGCTTGATTCATTTATTATAACTAGATACAATGT